TATTATTATATATTTATTACATTAATATATTATACATTTATTATCATTAACGACGTTTCGTCCACATGTAGTGACCTTTCTCATGTTGACTACATGTGCACGAAACGTTTTGTACCTATAATAATAAAAGTCAGGATATATATTTGCTTTACGTTATACTTCTTTTAACTAGTGTAGAATGTATCGTGGTTCGGAGTGCAATGTTTGCACTCGCCAATCAGGTAAATGCCCATCAGAGTTACTAGGTTATTGTACACACTTGACCATAGGCTGGTTGATTGGCTGGCTAATTGGGGTTTAAAGCCTATCTACTACACGAGGATCATTAAGGCTGCATCTAACCTGTTCTCCGCCAGTCTCAGAATATTTTGATAGCTAGAATAGTGATTCAGTGTATATTTTGATACCTAGAATAGCGATTCAGTGTATATTTTGATACCTAGAATAGCGATTCAGTGTATATTTTGATACCTAGAATAGCGATTCAGTGTATATTTTGATACCTAGAATAGCGATTCAGTGTATATTTTGATACCTAGAATAGCGATTCAGTGTATATTTTGATACCTAGAATAGCGATTCAGTGTATATTTGATACCTAGAATAGCGATTCAGTGTATATTTTGATACCTAGAATAGCGATTCAGTGTATATTTTGATACCTAGAATAGCGATTCAGTGTATATTTTGATACCTAGAATAGCGATTCAGTGTATATTTTGATACCTGGAATAGTGATTCAGCTGTGTGTGTAAATACACAGAGAGACTGTTACGCCCCTTGTTTATTTAGCCACAAACTGGTATGATGTATTTACATGCGTTGATTTGTCTTTTTCATTTATTAAGGAACATCTTCATTAACAGTTAAAATTAATATACTCGACTATACTATTATCTGGCCATAAATTGTTTAGCTTTGTAGGTTAGGTTAGGTTAGGTTAGGTTAGGTTAGGTTAGGTTCGTCAGGAAACAGGACAAATGTTTCCTGACGCGGGTCTTAGTCAGATGATGACCCGCCTTTGGAGCTTTTGGTCATCTGACCGAGGCCTTCCGCTGGCTTACCGGTCCACCCCTTTAAAAATTATGGTCATTTATAACCATTGTTATATATTTTTAGCTTTGTACATAGGCTGTTTCATTGTTGTAAACTGCTGGTACAGCATGGTTAAGCACCAGGGGGCAGTTTGAGTTACTCCGCCCCCGCGCAGACTGAGTTGAGGTCTGGTAGTAAAGCTTACCTTGTTCAGTACACATCTCCATATAGTCGAGGGAGGATCCTGTAGAGAGCCTGGCTTATTAAGGTTCGCGATAATTCCCGAAGAGTACACCAGAAATTTGGAAACCCTATGGTCGGGCAATACTTGGCCTGAGAAGGCGGTCGAGAAGCTCCTAGAAATTTGGAAACCCTATGGTCGGGCAATACTTGGTCTGAGAAGGCGGTCGAGAAGCTCCTAGAAGTTACGAGTAACAGTGAACGGGTCTGAGTGTTAAGCTGTTTGTGAACTCTGAGAAGGAAGATATTGTGAAAATTTCCTTGAGGAAGAACTCGATTACTTGTCTTAATATTGCTGTTTAAGTTTAAACGCCGGTGTATACAGCTCTTGACTGATTGTGATCGAGTCTAGAAAATGTATGTGATTATTTCGTTTTGTGAATATTTAACAAGTTACCTGGATAACATTTTAATAAAGATAATTATCTCTACTTGTTACGGTATGAGTATTCTTGCTTATCTGAGAAATAATGGAAACATTATGATCATTAATGAAATTAATAAAAAACAGCTGAAACTCCAGATTCCTTTGCCTCCATAAGTGGTCCCAGTGATTGATATCCTCTAAACAAGATAAACGTGTTCTTTTTGGTGTATGTTTGTTACCAGAAGCACTATAGCAGGGAGGTCCCGGACCCTGTTCGTAACATATACCGTGAGGTGTGTATATCCTGGGGTATGCTGTGGGGTATATTCCCTGGTCATACTACTGAGAGGCTCCTGTCCCTGTTCACTGCCGGTCTGTGATCAGTCACTGTTCACTGACATCAGGTCAGTACTGTAGGTTTTTATGGCATAGACCAAACTTTCCATTTATACTCTGTAATTGATTTTCTCGTATAGTTGAACACTATAAGTCGAAAACTCGAGAATGCCTTGCACGATCGTGTTCAAATTTTCAGGACTTGTTTAGTGTAACAAGGGTAGGACCCATACAAACATTAGCTTGTTTCAGAGCGTTGCGAAATCAACAAAAGCCTTAAGCTACAGATTTCCCCTCTTTTTCTTGCTTAGTTGTGACCTGACAGTGGTCCAGGACCTACCCAAGCAGTGTCCTAAGAGAGTTGCTTGTGAATTGTTGCAGCCAGGGTATTGTGGGTTGTGAATTGTTGCAGCCAGGGTATTGTGGGTTGTGAATTGTTGCAGCCAGGGTGTTGGAAATGCGAGAGGAAGTTAAAGGAGTAGGAGAATCTCGGCGAGATGTAGATGAGGTTGTCAGTATCGCTGGTAGAATTAGAGCTAAGAACCACCATTAGCACCCCCCCCCCACAGTGCTTCTAGATACAGTGAAAACCACCACCACTAGCGCCACACAGTGGTTCTAGATAGTGAGAAGAACCACCGCTAGCACCACAGTGGTTTTCGATATAGTGGGAAGAACCACCGCTAGCACCACACAGCGGTTCTAGATACAGTGGGAAGAACCAGCACTTCCTGGAGTCGATCTTGCCCCAGAATCGGTTAATTAGAGATCTGCCATCATGCTGGTGTCAAGTAATTCCTGGTAAAGGAAGAAGTGAAAGATTGACTTGGCAGTCTACCATCATGCTGCCTGTCAACAAGTATCTACCTGTGAACAAGTGTGCGTGTGTCTACCTATAAAAGAGTGTATCTACCTGTCGACAACTGTGTTTTTACGTGTCAACAAATGTCTATCCTGTCAAAGTGTCTACCTGTCAACAAGTGTGTTCAGCAACTCTTCCCTCAAATGTACCCGGAAGCAGAAAGTCTCGGTAACAAAATTGACTAAATGAGGAAGAGGATAAAACCAAGAAGAACAGAAGAGAGCAAGAATAATAAATTTATAACATGAGTAATTTAATTTTGCCTAATCCAACTAAATATACAAGTTTATAATAATTTAGTAAACACAATGAAATATATTTTTTCGTTAGGTTCAGAAGGATTTTTGCAAAATTTTCATACCCAAATTTTCGCTTGCCCTATTCGGCAAGAAGTGCGTTGCTACCGGCATTTTTGTCACCTCTTACGACAGGCATAACTCACGGAGGAATTCTCACCATCGTACCCAGAGATAAACATAGATACAACACTAAGAACAGTAACTGTTAGGAGATTATAAGAAAACTGAGATGAGTGTGTATACACAAGTACAACTGAAAGTGTAATGTGTACTGAGTGTAAATAGAAGTGGGAAGATGTGAAACAATTTTATCTTACATGTTTGAGACGAGACACCGTTTCACATTCATTTGACAGGAGGATAGTACCTCGCAGCATGGTTGCTGTCTACCAAGTACTCGTGGAATTATCCACTCTCAACTGTGTTTTGGCTTGAATGATTTATACAAAATCGTAATTTTTAACGTTTTAAGAATTTTAAGTGACTAAAACCGAAAAAAAAACCTGAAGAGTCGTTAGATATAGAAAGGCTGTTAATCCAAATTATTAATTTCTGATAAGTGAGGCTGAAGAATATGATTATTGGGACAACACTTCGCCCTTTGTGTAGCTTGTTATCTTCACTATAAATATTACTAGTGTGAGAGAGATCTTTAGTAGTGTGTACTCACCTAGTTGTGGTTGCAGGGGTCGAGTCATGGCTCTTTGCCCCGTTTCGCCACTGGTCACTACTGGGTCACACTTCATGCTCTATGCGCTTATCATACTTCTTCTTAAAGCTATGTATGGATCCTGCCTCCACTACATAACTTCCCAGACTATTTCACTTCCTAACAACTGTGACTGAGGAAATACTTCCTAACAACTGTGACTGAGGAAATACTTCCTAACATCCCTGTGATTCATCTGAGTCTTCAACTTCAAACTGTGACCCCTTGTTGCTGTGTCCCATCTCCGAAACATCCTGTCCACCTTGTCTATACCTCTCAGTATTTTAAATGTCGTTATCATATCACTCTTCTCTCCTGTCCTCCAGTGTCGTGAAGTCGATTTCCCTTAACCTCTCCTCGTAGGACATACCCCTTAGCTCCGGGACTAATCTTGTTGGAAAGCTTTGGACTTTCTCTAGTTTCCTTATATGTTTGGCTAGGTGAGGGTTCCAAACTGGCGCTGCATACTCCAATATGGGACTGACGTACAGGGTCCTGAACGATTCCTTATTAAGATATTGGAATGCTATTCTTAGGTTTGCTAGGCGCTCATATGCTGCAGCAGTTATTTGGTTGATGTGCGCCTCAGGAGATGTGCCTGGTGTTATACACACGCCAAGATCCTTTTCCTAAAGTGAGGTTTGTAGGCTCTGTCCCCCTAGATTGTACCCCGTCTGTGGTCTTCTTTGCCCTTCCTCAATCTTCATGACTTTGCACTTGGTGGGGTTGAACTCCAGGAGCCATTTGCTGGACCAGACCTGCAGCCTGTCTGGATTTCCCTGTAGTTCTGCTGGTCCTCGTCCGACTGAATTCTTCTCAACTTCACATCATCCGCAAACAGGGACACTTCGGAGTCGATTCCTTCCGTCATGTCGTTCACAAATACCAGAAACAGCACTGGTCGTGGGACTGATCCCTGTGGGACCCCACTCATTACAGGCTCCCACTCTGACACCTCACCACGTTCCACGACTCGCTGCTGTCTTCCTGACAGGTATTCCCTGATCTGTGTGTGTGTGTGTGTGTGTGTGTGTGTGTGTGTGTGTGTGTGTGTGTGTGTGTGTGTGTGTGTGTGTGTGAGAGAGAAAACTGTACTTGATGCTGCTGTCTTGTAGAGGTAATAATGTTCAAATACATCTTCCCATTTTCCAGATGAGACATACACTAAGGTGGCCTTGGAGACGCTGGAGGAGCTGGACTGGTGTCTGGACCAGTTGGAGACCATCCAGACCCATCGCTCCGTCTCCGACATGGCATCCTCCAAGGTAAGTCCTGGTCTCCCCTTTCTTCCATCTCCGTTATTCATTTCTCTCTTGTATCCCTGTCTCATCTGCCACACGGCATCCCCCAAGGTAAGTGCTGATTTTCTCTTTCCCCTTCGTTCGTTTCCTCTTGCTTATCCTGTTTGCGAAATTAATTTTAGTGTTTGTTTTTGTGTTTTATATTGACACAGGTGTTGCGTTTGACCAGTGTTTGGTTTCGTTTTAGTGTGTATGTTCCCCCCCCCCCCCAAGAAGTGTTTGAGCTGTGTTTGGTATTAATGGTTCTCTTGCAAGTTGGTGGTTCTCCTGCACCTTACAATGTTGTTCACATTTATATATAACATTGTGTGGAAAGTCTTAATGGGACAGTAAAAACTAGCTGGAGTTTGATTCATAGCTCCTGGTTCCTGATCTCTTGGACCCTGTCATGCCTACTGTTGAAGCTGCGTTCAACTTTCCCTTTGCAGTCCACTCATCACCCCAGAGGCTGAAAAAGTACTTCCTTACGTCCCTGATGAATAAGACGCATGTGCAACACTTGGGTGTCTTTAGTGATGAAACTTGGCTGCGCAGTAGGCTTCTTCAGTCGGACACAGGTGAATTTTATACTAGAAACAGTGGAAGATGTGGTGGTTAGTCCCTCACCTTTAAGTGTTCATTCACTTTGATAAAAGGTGTTCAGTCCGGCACAAGTGAACCACTTAAGTGTAAGCAGTGGTCACTTGCACTAAGGGGACAACCCTTTGTAATAAGGGGATAAATTTTCGTACAAAGTGGTGGAACTCTTGCAACAAATACACAGGGCGGCCACTTACAAAAAGTGGATGACCACTTGTAACAAGGATACTGGCTTATGTAACAGACGGCAGACACTTGTAACCAAGAGATGGTCACTTATCACAAGTAAAGGAGATAGCCAATTGTAACAGTAAAGGGGACAACCACTTGTAACAGTAAAGGGGACATTCACTTGTAACAATAAAGGGGAGACTCACTTGTAACAGTAAAGGGGACGTTCACTTGTAACGGTAAAGGAGACATTCACTTATAACAGTAAAGCGGAAAACCACTTAAAACAGTAAAAGGGCAGCCACTTGCAACAGTAAAGGAGACAGTCATATGTCGCAATAAAGGGGACAGTCACTAAAAGTGGATGACCACTTATGTAACGAAGACAGGTGCACTTAAACAAGACAGAAGAACACCATGACGGGTGACATTTAAAATGTATAAAATACGACAGATTGTTAGTAAGACACATATGCAACAGTAGGTACTTTATTTCGAAACGTTCGCCTACAACAGTAGGCTTCACCCTTTAAGGGTGGGACTGATTACATCGTCTTCAAGTATCTTGCATCTATCAACTATGCTGTACTCACAGAAAAGCCTACTGGGGTAGGCGAAACGTTTTCGAAATAAAGAACCTAAACTGTTGCATATGTAGCTCACTTACCTAACAACCCATGACGGGTGTTGATTATTGACTTGCAATGTTTGTCCATTATTGACACAGCAGCGCTGTATAGCCCTTGTGGCTTAGCGCTTCTTTTGATTATGATACACTTGCAATGTTTGATGCTTGCAATATTTGACACGTGCAGTGTTGATTGACACTTGCAGTGCTTGACACAATGTTGATTATTTTGAGACCTGGCATTTTTTTTTTACACCTGCAATGTTTATCGGTTATTTACAAGAATTAACATTAGTTTGAACATCAGTAACATGTCAGATAATTGTTGTTTAATATTTGAAAGGTAACTTTCAAATTGTTATTTTTGTCTGATTAAGTAACTGAAAAATCTGACACTACCACCACTGTTACACTCACTGCTAACACCATACTCCACTCTACTACTATCAGTGTGGTAGAGGAGGTAGTGATGGTGTTGGTGGTGCTAGGCTGCAGGTGTTATTGGTGTTACTGCTGGTGTTACTACAGCTTTAAGATAACAGTCAACACTCTCCTCTACCTCCACGTCCAAATTTTCACCGTCGTATGTGAGTGACGCGTCGCGTCGGACCCCTCCTGACCCTCCCTCACTCCTGGAGGGAAATGGAAGTGTAGTTATCTGAAGAGTTGAGGTTTGGCACCAGCGCTTTGAATCTTCTCTCTCCCTCCCCTAATTCCCTCCACTCTCCTTCCCTCGCTCCCCTCTCCTCACTCTCCTCCCCTCACTCCCCTCTCCTCACTCTCCTCCCCTCACTCCCCTCAACTCATTCTCCCACTCCTCTCCAGTTCTGTTGTATCTCGCCATCTCCCTCCCCTTCATTACTATCTCTTCCCCGTTCTTCAGCCGCCCTAGTTCTCTCCCCCCATTCCCCTCCTCCCCATTCCTCCCTAATTAACTTCTCGCCGTCCCTCCTAGTCCCCTCCTTCCCCTCAAAACCACCCATATTCATACACCCACAATCATATACCACCCACATTCATACTTACCAATCATACACCACCCATATTCATGCACCCACAATCATACACCACCCACACATATAAACCTACACATTCTCCCACACTACCCACAACCACCCACGCTAACTACAGTGCCGATACCCACAGTAACCAACACTACTTTCACCACCCATACTATATACAGTACATACACTACCCACAGTACCCACACCACCCTCACTACCCACAGTACCCACACCACCCACTATACAATACCCACTTCACCCACAGTACATACAGTACCCACACCATCACTACCCACAGTACCCACGCCACCATCACTACCCACAGTACCCACACCACCCACTATACAATACCCACTTCACCCACAGTACATACAATACCCTCACTATCCATAGTACATACAGTACCCACACCACCCTCACTATCCACAGTACTTACAGTACCCACACCACCCACACTATCCACGCTACCCTCACTACCCACAGCACATACAGTACCCACACTACCTCTCACTCCCCACAATACACACAGTATCCACGCCACCCACACTAACCCTCACAACCCACAGCACATACAGTACCCACACTACCCACAGAACCATACAGTACCCACAGCACATACAGTACCCTACACTACCCTCACTACCCACAGCACATACAGTACCCACACTACCCTCACTAACCACAATACATACATACCCACACTACCCACAGTACATAAGTACCCTCACTACCCACAGCACATACAGTACCCACACTACCCTCACTACCCACAGCACATGCAGTACCCACACTACCCACAGCACATACAGTACCCACACTACCCTCACTAACCACAATACATACAGTACCCACACTACCCACAGTACATAAGTACCCTCACTACCCACAGCACATACAGTACCCACACTACCCTCACTACCCACAGCATGTACAGTACCCACACTACCCACAACACATACAGTACCCACACTATCCACAGTACATACAGTACCCACACTACCCACAGTACATGCAGTACCCACACTACCCTCACTACCCACAGTACCTACAGTACCCTCACTACCCACAGTACCTACAGTACCCTCACTACCCACAGTACCTACAGTACCCACACTACCCACAGTACCTACAGTACCCACACTACCCCACAGTACCAACAGTACCCACACTACCCATAGCACATACAGTACCCTCACTACCCACAGCACATACACTACCCTCACTACCCACAGCACATACACTACCCTCACTACCCACAGCACATACAGTGCCCTCACTACCCACAGCACATACAGTACCCACACTACCCTCACTAACCACAATACATACAGTACCCACACTACCCACAGTACATAAGTACCCTCACTACCCACAGCACATACAGTACCCACACTACCCTCACTACCCACAGCACATGCAGTACCCACACTACCCACAGCACATGCAGTACCCACACTACCCACAGCACATGCAGTACCCACACTACCCACAGCACATGCAGTACCCACACTACCCACAGCACATGCAGTACCCACACTACCCACAGCACATACAGTACCCACAGCATATATAGTACCCACACTACCCACAGCATATATAGTACCCACACTACCCACAGTACATGCAGTACCCACAATACCCTCACTAACCACAGTACATACAATACCCACACTACCCACAGTACATGCAGTACCCACACTACCCTCACTACCCACAGCACATAGTACCCACACTACCCACAGCACATACAGTACCCACACTACCCTCACTACCCACAGCACATACAGCCCCACACTACCCACAGAACATACAGTACCCACACTACCCACAGCAAAATACACTACCCTCACTACCCACAGCACATACACTACCCTCACTACCCACAGCAAAATACAGTACCCCACAGCACATACAGTACCCACACTACCCTCACTACCCACACACATACAGTACCCACACTACCCCCTCACTACCCACAGCACATACAGTACCCACACTACCCTCACTACCCACAGCACATACAGCACCCACACTACCCACAGCACATACAGTACCCTCACTACCGACAGCACATACAGTACCCTCACTACCCACAGTATATACAGTACCCTCACTACCCACAGTACATACAGTACCCTCACTACCCACAGTACATACAGTACCCACACTGCCCTCGCTACCCACAGCACATACAGTACCCACACTACCCACAGTACATACAGTACCCACACTACCCACAGTACATACAGTAACCCACACTAACCACAGTACATACAGTACCCATGCTAGCCACAGTACATACAGTACCCACGCTAGCCACAGTACATGCAGTACTCGCACTACCCTCACTACCCACAGCACATACAGTACCCCACTACCCACAACACATACAGTACCCACACTACCCTCACTACCCACAGCACATACAGTACCCTCACTACCCACAGCATATACAGTACCCACACTACCTCACTACCCACAGTACATACAGTACCCTCACTACCCACAGTACATGCAGTACCCACACTACCCTAATACCCACATACCTACATACCCTTACTACCCACAGCACATACAAGTACCCACGCTACCCTCACTACTCTACAGCACATAACAGTACCCACACTACCCACAGCACATTCAGTACCCACACTAAACCATAGCACACAGTACCCACCCCTACCCTCACTACCCACGAGACACATACAGTACCCTCACTACCCACAGCACATACAGTACCCTCACTAACCCACAGCACATACAGTACCCACACTACCCTCACTAAACCCAGTACAAACAGTAACCTCAC